CAACTCCAGGTTGTTAAATTCATGGAAATTTGAGGGGTGGAGCCTGGAGAGGGTGAGGTTTGAGGAGGGGTGGGACCTCAGACAGGTGCAATACCATAGACTCCACCCTCCAAACCAGCTATTTCTTCCTGGGTAACAATTGTTGCCAATCTCCAGGTGAGGGCTGGAGATCACTGAAAATTACAACTGCTCTTCAGGTAGCAAAGATCCGTTCCTCTGGAGAAAATGGTGGACTCTGTGTCATTATACCCTGCTCGGGTTGCCACAGCACATTGACACTGAGTGCCCAAGGCCTTGGCACTCTCCCAGAGCCTCTTTCCAGAGCTCGTTGTATTTATTTCCACAACAGGCCTTATTTCTAGTGTAAACATTTGTGGTTTTTTTCTGAGCTGGGTGATCTGCCTTTCAAGTGCACCTATTGCCCAGCAACTCTGCCATCAAACAGACATGCACCACTGGAAGTGTTTACAAATTTCATTTACAGATGTTTGTGATTTTTTTCTCTATGAGGCCACGGACAGGTGTATGTACCTTCCTGCTTGTATGTACTGTGTTTTTTAAAAGTATTTTAATTCACCCTCAACTCTCTTTTTAAACTTTTAAGGCTAGCTTGGCCTCATAAATGCTTCAAAAATAGGGCTGGTTATATTTTGTGCCATGAATCTGAACACTTAAAACACCAATTCTATGGCAACTTGAGCATTTTGTTTTAGTTTCCCTGAAAAGAAATAAAATATGCTAATTTTTATTAATCTGACCTATCCAGATCTTATTCCTTGCCTTTTATTTCAGCTTTAAATGAACCTACCATTGATTATGGCTTCCAAAGACTTCAGAAGGTTATCCCAAGACATCCTGGTGACCCAGAACGATTAGCCAAGGTAAAAAATATTCTAAATAGTTTCAGCACAGTCTTCCTTTGCTTATAATATTTTCTGGAATATATAAAGAATATTTAACCAACTCTCAATTGCTCTCACCATTTTATGCCTCCTGGAGCATATTCCGTTTTCACGCTAAATTATCTGTGTGTGGGGAGGATCCTTTTTGTTAATTAATAAAGTATTTTTTTCTGCATATCCCAAGTATGTAGAAACTGTTGTGTCTATACTGTTGGTCTGGTTTTGCTACTTTTATGGTGTTACATTTATTATCAGGGGTGTGTTGTTTTCAGATGCTGCAGATATGCATACTGGGAGCGTAACAACTGCTCATGATAGAGGGGCATGCTACCCACAATCTTCCCAAAGTGCATGGTTGCCATGTTGAGTGAGCAGAAGCAGTGCACGTATTTACATGCACACACACTGTCCAACATGAATGAATTGACCTATGCATTTTTCAGGGTTCACACGCATGTATACCAAACCTGTACATGTATGGTAAATACCCGTACTACCCCTCTTTGCACAATGTGGTGACCACATGTATCAAAAGGATTATAGGTCGCATGTTCTCCCACTATGCATTATTGGTGGACTCCAGTATGCATGGCTGGAATGTCGGAAGAGGTCTATAGTGATCTGTAGCTGAAGGTCAAGGATAAGGATAATCGTCAGTGTTCAAACTAATACATGCAATTCCATGGCAAGTGAATGTGAACAAAGATTAATTTCTCCCCCAGGTTTTTGAGCCCAAATTATCTGATATCCCCCACTTACCTAATTATCCCCAAATTTTAAGTCCAAATTACCTGATCTTGTTTCTGACAAAGAAACCAATGCATTTGGAATCCTCTGCTTTTCATTGCTTTTTGGACAAATTTTGAAAAGAGCATCATACGTATAGAGATGTGGTTTTCTGTTCCTTAATTTACATCTTTCTCTATAGCATATTTTAATAGTGCATATGTATGCATTAACAAAGCTTTACAAAATAGCAATTTTAAGGTATTTGCACAATTGTAACAAGATTTATTTGTGTATGGTGTTGCAAAGAAGTTCTCATGTGCGTCCCTAAAACTCTACACAAAAGAACTGTGATGTCATGGGCTCAGTACAGGGATCAAATCACCCCTGGGCGGAGGGATCTGGACACAATTCAAAGTACTGGTTCTTACCTTCATAACCCTAAACAGTTTGGCACCTGGGTATTCACTTGAACACCTGAATCAGACCATTGGTCCATCAAAATCAGAATTGTCTACTCAGACTAGCAGCAGCTCTTCAGAGTCTCATATCACCTACAACCTGAATCCTTTAAGTGGAGATGCCAGGGATTGAACCTGGGATCTTCTGCATAACAAGCAGATGCTCTAACATTGAACCATGGCCCTCCCCTATTCAAAGAACTGCTTCCTCCCGTACAGTCCAGCTCACTAATTAAGAACCTCTTCTCAAGTCCTCTTTGTCCCCACCTGGAGAGGAGAGGTGGGGGTGATCAGAGACAGGATTTTTTCAGTGGCCTTCAGAATGCCATCCCTCTTGAGGCTCACATAGAGCCTACCTTGCTTACCTTTAGGTGCCAGTCTAAAACATTTATCTTTATCCAAGTTTTAATTGAAAGGCTGCATCTTTTACAACTGTTTTTATAGTACACTACTAGCTTGAGGACTCTTTAAAATGAATATTATTTTAGGCTGTGTTGATCTGCAGTAAAAAGTTAGAACAAGTTAAACAATTTTGATATTTGGGGATACTTTTTTGATATAACTTGTCATGGAAACAACATATCGAGGAGGCCCGACAGCTAGCTGTTTCAACAACCAATGCAATAACTTATTTTTTTCTAAAGGAGGTCAATATATACCTGCGGCACTCTAAGTGTATAACTCTAAGGTGGGAGCTCAGTTGTTATTTCGTGCCCCAGTCTGGATTTTTATACCTTTTTCAAATAATCATGGGAGCTCCATGTTGTGTGGCAGGAGCCGTATTGAGAAATGCATTGTCTAGAGGCAAGGGGCTGGGCATCTGCCTCCTCAGGAATGAGCAGGCTTTTTAAATTGAGGATAGACGCCTTTAAAACAACCTGGCAAAAATTGGTAACCTCTCACCTGGTTTGGCTGGGAATTTCCCTATTCATTGCCATCTGCTAGAAATTTGATTTTGAAATGCCTTTATGCTTTAGATGAGTTCAGTACCAGAATACGGGCCCGCAGAGTTTAGTTTGGTGTAGTGGTTAAGTGTGCGAACTCTAATCTGGGAGAACCGGGTTTGATTCCACACTCCTTCACTTGCAGCTGCTGGATGACCTTGGGCAAGCCATAGTTCTGTCAGAGCTGTCCTTGAAAGAGCAGTTCTCGCAGAGCTCTCTCAGCCCCACCTACCTCACAGGACAACGTAGTGCTCTAGTTGTTATGGTTGTATTTGTTGTTATCATTGTCATTGTCCTTTGTTGTTGTTTTGTTGCTGAATGGTTGACGCTCAAGACTGTGGTTGCAAGAGCAGAGAATAAAACGAAACAAGTAGAACAGCTTGGTTTAAGTTCAGTAGCACCTTATCTGACAAAGGGAGCATGGACTCTTGAAAGCTCATACCCCCCCCAAATCTTGTTGGTTTCTAAGATGCTGCTGAAATAAAATCTAGTCATTGTAGGCTGGTGAGTGTTGTTGTAGCTAGTTTAATGATAATTCTTATACTGTGGCTTTTATGATTTTATTATAACACTTTACTTTTGAACTGGTTGAAGCAGGTCTCAAACCATCTCGGGGTAGCATATGCTTTTCTAAATAAAGATTTCTCTCTTTTTTTAGTTTTAGTCATGTTTTATCAATACATGTGCATTGGGTTATGGTTGTATTTGTTGTTATCGTTTTCATTGTCCTTTGTTGTTGTTTTGTTGCTGAACTGTTGATGCTCAAGACTGTCGTCACAAGAGCAGAGAATAAAATGAAACACGTGCATTGGCAAAAGCGAACCCAGCAGGTCTAGCCAGTCCTCTGCATGTAGATAGCCCCTTTTATATAATCCCTGGGTTATCCACCTTTCCTTCTTTTAGGAAATGCTTTTGAAACGAGCAGCTGACCTAGTTGAAGCACTGTATGGAACGCCGCACAATAACCAGGTTAGAAATCTTTCCCTCATATCTTCTATAAAGATACCAGAAACTGGAAAACTGCCTTTTCCCACATGAATTTGCCAGTAATTTGAGATCATCTTTGGAGGCTTATATTCAGGTGCCCCCTGACTTCAGAAGTTAGTCAGGTATATCCCAGACAGAGGGCTTTTGTTTTCTGTGATTGAATTCCAGTTAGGGAATTCCCTTCTAAAGAATGTTCACCTGGTACCACCTTTAGCATCTTTTAGGCACCGTGTAAAAATGTGACACATTTAATCTGTCGTTGTTGTTTTCTTTCTCCCTCCTCCTCCCTGATGGTGCTGGTGTCCTAATTTTATGTAAAATGTTGATTCAACAGTGTTTTTACATCCTGCTCAGAGGTCATTTTGGGGGGGATCGCGGGGGAACGCATGGGGGGGTGGG